TGCCAAAGGCACTCCTGTTAAGCAGAGCAGCCCAGCTGTGCTGTTGTCCTCTGGTGGAGAAGAAACCCCAGCTCTTTCTTCCCTTCATTTGGACTATTTTGGAAATATTAGTGAGCACATAATCCTCACTATGAGAACATTTCATTCATTAGAAGCCTGTGATGCTATCAGTAAGATCTGCTTATAAAGAGAGGATTTCCCTGGCAAGCTAACTACTTTAAACTTTCCTGGAAGAATAGTTGTCAAACCTCCTAGAAAATGCCAGCAATCCCATAAGACTATAAGTGTTGGTTACGCTGATGGTTACAAAATCCAAATGCATTCTGGTCTGTTGAATAAGTGCTGATGAATGCAAAACGCATGAACTGAAAGTGACCCAACCCTCTGTGGAAACCAGCAGTTTCTAGAGTAATGAGTGGTCCAACCCAGGCTTGTGTTTTTCCTCTTGGCAGATCAAGTACAAAGCTCACGTGCAGAAAACAAGAAATGACTACAAGTTGGTCATGGACACTCCTGTCTATGTTCAGGCTGTCAAGAGTGGGAAACAGCTAAGTGATGTAAGTGCTCGCTGGGGAAATTGAGTGGATAGGAAAAAGGCAGGGGCCACCACTCAAGCAGAAGTGGTGAACACTGGGTGGGGCTGCACCTTTTCTAGCTGAGAAACAGAGTGGGTGGGTGCCTTAGAAAATATTTAAGATGTTGCTGTTGTTCCCAAAACCTGATGTGTTCAAGAAGTTCACTGGGGTGAAGTTGTAATTTTTGAGTCTATGAAATATTTCTCTGTGTTAGAGCTTCCAAAGTTGTTTTCTATATCTCGTGTCATAACCAGCCGTATATATATCACTGCCTAGACTTTCTAATAAATTATCACCCACTACACAGCAGAAGCATGCAGGCTCTGAAGTTAGAGACGTGGATTGGAGACTCTCCCACACATTATTATCTTGGAAGCTTGTGAAAAGTACTTAATTTCTAAGAATCTCAGCATTGCTATTCAGAAAATGGAAAGGTGTATGTAATGTATCCACTACATCACAGGCAGAAAGTTGCTGCTGCTGCTTATCGTTATTATTAACAACAGATTAATAAAGAAATATTACATTCTCCCAGTGAGTTAGAAATGTGAGACCCACCATTTTAGAATGTCTAGAGGCACAATGCCCACTCATCCTCTCCTTCTGCCTGAGCTGTCTCTGCTACTTCTCAGCATGGGGTCTACACCTTGGCTCTGATCCTACCGGACAGGACACATTAACAGATCCTTTTCTCTAGCAAAAAGGAAGCAGGCTGCCTTTGGTTTTTAAAGAGGGACTTGGGGCTCAGATTCTGTGGTGCAGTCAGTAACTTACTGGACTGCAGTTCTGGAGGCCACACGGCTGACCACAGGTTCAGTTCCTCAACTGAGTAGACCTGAAACACATGGGACACGTTCACATGTGCCCAAGATCCTGACAAGCTGGAAGGCTAGGGCAGGGAATCACAGCTGGACACGATCATATCAAGGCTGCCTTCTTTCTCTTTCTCTCTGTCACAGAGGGACTTAAGTTTCTATTACTTTGCTTCTTTCTAATAATGCTACCACAGTCTGAATCAACTTTGTCTGCTCCCCTCTGCCCCTAGGCTGTCTACCATCATGACTACGTGCACAGTGTCAGAGGCAAAGTGGCTCCGACTACAAAAACTGTGGACTTGGACCGGGCCCTTCATGCATACAAGCTCCAGAGTGAGGTGAGTCATGAGAGCTTGAGCATTCCCAGGCAATCCAGGCCGTTGGCTTCTGTAGAAATAACCTTCACCTGGGCATTCTCTTAGCCCAATTTTATAAAATGTAAACTCTCTTCCACTCACAAAAGTTGGAAAAACAAAAACAGCATAGCCTGTCTCCCCTCTTAGATGGTAGGATCCTCCTCTCAAGCAACCAAACAAACAATAAATATGCATTTTTAGAAACAATATTTACAAGTTAAAAAGAAGAGGGCCAATAGATCTCCTCTACTTTCAAAAAGCCTAAGATCAAGATGACAAAGACAAGACCTTTAATATAAAAGAGTATTAATAATAAGAGATAAAGCCAGAAATTTCTGTTGGAATAAAGAAGAGAACAAACCTTAACCCCAGCCACATTTTCAGTCTCCCTGTTTTTGTCACTCCGTAGTGCTGCTTTGGTCTCAACTTCTCATGCTACAGTCCATTGAGAATATTAAAAGTAATTTGGGTTTTAATATCTTAAATACCATTCTTAAGGTTATAGACAGAAATTGTTTCCTTTGCTCCCTTCTGCCATGAACATGTACTTCCTGACTGCTTGATAGCCTGATGTCAAGACATGGTGTTTAGGAAGGCGTATGGGGTGGAGGAAGAGAGGGAGGGCAACACCAAGATGCGCTTGGTAACTATGACTGTCCCAGGAACTGATGAGGGCTCAACTGTCACCTGATGGTGGGACAGAGCTGGCACTTGCCTGCCTGCTTTCTCTACATTTCCCAAATTCTTACTAGATATTTTGCAGCCAACTGGACAGATGTTCAGAAACACAGAATGACTTTATATAAACCCCTCCAACTCAGCATTCTTTTTTTCTGACACCATAGGGAAAG